CGTTCGTGACAGATGAAGTGTATATAAAAGAATAGTTTCCGCCTTCTTGTCAGAGAAAGCGTACAAGTTTAGATAATCTAAAAAGTCTTGGTTAGGAGTACCTGGATCTGATACCTAGGAACCACCCTAAGTAGGGTAACCCCACTCGAAATTAGAATCTCTGTTCTCTAACACCTCCCTCCGGAACCCTTATGGAGTCCTCACATCATTATATATATCAATCTCAGTTATCTAGCTCAACAGAAGTATCACTTAATATCTCTCTGGAGGTCACACATTCAACACCTGTTGTCGTTAAAGTTATTTTAGATATTGAGTTATTTTCTACCAATACCACTTGCAACTTCAAGGCTCCCAGTATGACAATTAAGAACCTCTGACTTAAGGGTTAAGATTATATCCTATAGAAGTGCTTCTCCTCTATATGAAGAAAATTACTGAATAGAAATCTGTTAGTTGAATCAGGAGATACTGAGCATCAAAGTCGACAACCTAAGAAGATTGCATACATGACTTTGCAAAGTTGCTGACTGAGTGATTATTTGTCAGTCCAGTAGGATAGCTACCTATGTATTAAGAGGAAGTCATCCAGAAGACATCCAGAAGACATCCAGAAGACATCCATTAGTTGGATCTAGAGTTATAGTAGTTTAAAGTCAGCAAATTAAGAAGGATGAATTTATGACTACTTCTGCAAATACAAACCTGCAGATGAAACTGATCATTTTATCAATAAGGGAAACTATTGAGGCCAACTTAGTTTGATTTGGGAACTAGTCCATAAGTCTAATGACTCCGAAGATTGGATAATAACTATTGGAAACGGCATAGTTCCTAATTAGCGAAATAGTAATTGCCGAAAAGGGTGTGGTAGTTTTCAGAGTCTCCAGGAGTTCACATCTTTGAAGAATACCCCACATTACAAGTTACAATTAGAGAGGTACATAGTTTGTATAATAGAGAGATGTATTCTACTAATACTCAGACATGGAATATAAATATCGAAATGTCTCTCAAGCATTTAGACATTATTAAGCAATGGAGAAGAGGTCTTAACAATCTAATATTGTTCTTATAATTCTATTCTACTTTACCTACTTCACCTTACTCTTAGTAGTCATAAACAAAACAAGTATATTTCGAGCCTTCCTAGACAATCTCCATCTACAGAAATGAATCTTGACTGGTCTAGGTAACTCTGAGTCTATACCAGTTGTCCCTGCCTAATAGTTTTCAAAATATATTTTGTCTATCATTGTTACTTCGCTATCACAGTAGTTAGTACAATAGATATAATATTTCTCAAATATGATAGAAGAAAAAAAGTTTCTTCCTAATTCTCCCTCTGTCAATATACTTCTGTTCTAGTTCTAATATCCTCCATAATAGTACATAGCTCCCCCAAAGTAGAATTAATCTTTCTCAATTCATGTCTAATTTCCTTAATCTCCTCCTTTATCTCTTCTGTTTCCTTCTCCCACTTGCTCTCCTGAGATTTTGTCAACTCCAAAAACATAGAAGAAAGCTTTTCTGCCAGTAGAATTGGCAAAGGTTTGACACAGCAGAGGAAGAGGAAGTTGATTGATGATAAACTTAATGGATTGGTAATACAGGAGGTATCCAGAGTATCAGAGTAGTTGTACTCATAGCAGGTAGATCAGGAGATTCAATTGTGACAGTACGAGCTTCTATCACATTTGAAACTTCAAGAATACCACCTGTAGGAAAGGCCACAATCTATACAGGAACTTGACAATACTTTTTTCTCTTCTACTGTGGATTAGCCACCAAGGATACATTTTTCATATTATTGAGACTTAGCTGTTCGGTTGGTATCATTCCCTGAATTGCAGAAAACCATAGCACTAATCCCTATGCTCACTCTTCCTCTTCGGCTTTCTATTTTACAGTCATTTTGTCCTCTTTGTTCTTTTTGCATTCTCCTTTAATCCCATCACCTTCTCTGAAGGTGCAGCTAATCGTATTAGATTGCTCTCGCTTAGCTGAAATTTATTGTCTGCAATTTGAAGCTCTCCACCAATTCTCTTCCATGTGGGATTTTCATTGAACTTCACTAAATCAACTAGCCTCCTCTTTAACATCTCAACATCCCACCCAAGATAATATCCTTCCTGTTCTAACTGGTTCCTTACTTGCTCCCAATACTCTTCTGTGGACCCACGGGGTGCTGATTTTGGATTTATATCGCTAACTGCTGTACAGAGTACTTTACAAGTAGCAAAACCATTCGTTTGACTAATGTGGGTTTGGCCGCATTCGACTTCTTCATTTGGCTTTTGGTAATATGTGCTTGGGTCGGGCTCACCTCATGGCATGGTATTGGTCATATTCATATTGTTCATTTTATATATATCTTTTTAGGTCGCAGGCATCGTATTTCCCCTTCTTTCACCCCTGTCTCTTATATTCTCACAATAATTCCGTTCAATTCTGCAGATTACAACTGATATACACCACAGTTACACAACTTCCTTATTTGGTTTAGTTGCTCATCTGTGCAGACTTAAAAATTTCCTTTAAACAACTAAATTGGGATTCCGGAAAGTCTCTATTGTTAACCTCCTAGTACGTCTGGAAAGTACCACTCCCGGCACCTACGGCAAGGCAACACCACTGCTACAACGCCCCAATCAGAGCCGAACTGACATAGGATTGGAGGAGATTGGAGGGGGCTGGGATGTATTTCTTTTGTTAGCGCTTTGAGGTTTTATTCCACAACTTTGGTTGAATGCAGTGGATAAGCCCCGGTCCTATCTAAACCAATCCACGCTCTTGACAGAAAAAAGAAAAAAGAAAAAAGAAACAACCCACCCCAGTGCGGTTGACACATCACCGCTGTATTCTGAAATCTACAATTACCTCCAAGTTCATAATATTCTTCATCACTTTCTAGCTCTAAATCAAACTCCAAGGCAACGAATCACTACCCCTTACTACACCCGATCTCTACGGTACCCAACCTAGGTTTATGG